ACAGAGCTGCACATGCAGAACAGAATAATCTGGACCATGCAGGTGGTTGTCTGGAAGCTTTGTTTGAAAACAGTGGGATACTGTTGCATGCTATGCTTGCTCAACCTTAGATGTGTTTAATTGCATGATTTTTTTTGTGTGTATGCGTGTGTGTGTGGGTGTGTGTGTCTGTGTGTGTGTGTGCAAAATGACACTTGAACAAGTTTTACATAACTTAAGTATTATAATGCCATTTGTTACTACTGAAAACATCATTTTTGGTCTAAATCCAACTTTTTATTCTAGCTTTAAATTATTTTGTTTGCATGATAATGACATGTTTAAAAGGTTTCTGTCAAGTGCCATATTTTGAGTCATTTCGTGTAAGACGTGCTTTAATGGTAGACATCGTAAGAAATCTTTAAACAAGTTATCGATGAGTTATGATTATATGAAATTAATAAGTTGACACGTTCTCTGTGGATGTGAAAAATATGTACCAAAGTGAATGTCGAAGAAATCATCAGACAGTTTTGTCTTTATTTAATAAGCCAGTAGGTTTTAAGTCTTAATTTCATTTTAGGTGGGAAAAAGCTGTATTAGTCAGGAAGAGAGTAAAACTGTTGGTCAGACGCCAACCACCTATACTATAGGGTTGTAGAGATTTTTTAAAGGAATTCTTAAACAGGCACTTTCTACTTCTTGCTTCATGCAAGTGCAAATCCTCATATCATTGCATAGAGTTAACAGTTCACCTCAACTTTTTACCTTTTGGCAACTTAATACAGTATTTAACACTATTGAGGAGTTAGATATGAGTTTTGAATAGAGCAGTTGATCTGCAGTCTGCTTAACATTGTTCAAGTGCAGCTTTTTCAGTTTTTTTCTCCTTCAAATTCCAAGTGAGACTTTGCTAGAATGCTACTTCTAATTGTTAGTTTCATTTAAGACTGGTGGCATTACAGGGTATATTTCTATATGTGATGCTAAGTTTGTATATAATTATGCACTGTATATACAGTAAACCAGTGTATGCAAACAATGTTTGTAAGTGTAATCTGATGCATTTGTAGACATGGCATGCATTGTCGACAGCCCACACATTCGATTGTGTACATTACACCATACCAGTTGTTGTTGATTTTGTTCTAATCTCTTGTACATGATGATGCTGTTGTATTCTAATGATGGTGCAATATTTTAATCTCTTGTTTTGATACTGTCTCTGAAACTTTCCAAACATGATGTTCCTCGGTGGGTAAAAAAAAACACCACAGAAAAACCTTGTAAACGTTCTTTTGTACTCTTCCTCGAGGTTTGAGGATTTTCAAAGTTAGACCCAGAGACAGACAGACAGCTTTTTACTCCAGATTTCTTCCAGGGGTTCAGTAGTTTATAGTTTTGCTCCTTTGTGCTTCCAAGATGATACACTAAAGTAGGACTGTGCCAGCGAATGGGAGAGATTAGGCAGGCATGACTGTTGTGTTCACTTCATGTATCCTGTTGTAACGTGTGCATTCAAGTGTGTGTACTACAACAGTGGCATATTGTACAGTTGTATACTTTTCATTGCCAGCTAATTTTACAGTATAATTGAAAATTTTGCCACACCCATAGACTAATATGCCACCCTAGCAGAATGTGAACGAAACTTTGGAATTGTGTGTTCCCTCCACCAGGGGGCAATCTATCACATCTCACACCTCTACAGGCCTGGATTACACCATTAAACTGCATTATCTTCCAGCTCCTTATGCTGACAATCAGGTGCTCATTGGCATAAATAAAGTTACAGTCCAATTTGAGTTTTTATCATTCAGTGTTCATAAAACTACAAATTTGTCAGACCTTCCCATCTTTTTAGTCTCATATGCCTTTTATCCATTAAATAGATGAGACTAATGACAGTTAGCCTTTTGTAAACCAGAACCCTTTGTTATAGAAGCCTTTCTGTTAGTATGTGCTTTATACAGTGCTAGGGTGCTCTACGCTGCTTCTTTGCTGCAGCGCTCTTGAAGTTTGGCCTCACATCCATGTACTCTCATCACGCCAGTCACCAAACGCAAGTTGTGAATGATGCTGTTGCAGTTCATGAGCTGTGTCTGTCTGCATTAATGGCGTCTGCATGTCCAGGGTGTCTGCCAGGTTCTGTTAATCTGAAGCATTTTGGCCCCAGGCTCCAGCTTGACCTTGCCATATACAGTGGAAGTTGCCACCTTTCTCCCTTGCTGTGTTTTCCAGTGGTCTGTAAATAATGCTGCAAACTGCCTGGTTTTCAAAAACCAATGAAACCCATGCAAGGATCTCTAAAAGATGGATTTAACACTTGGTGTGGTTATCGAAGCGTTGGGAGAAAAGTGAGTTTCATTTGTTTACATTATGTTTACAATGGCACAGTTTTACTTTTTAAGGAGATATATGTAGGTATAGACAATATTTGCATATTTATTGCCTAAGGTTAAATGATATGATGTGTATTGTGTTTTCACATTTGGAATATAATGTTACAGTTGTCACCTGTATTACTATCTGGATGATTTTGGTAAAGTAGTTGATCATTTTTATGACTACTAAGTGACTGTTTTCTGTGCCTTTTTATGGTTAGAATGCATGGTTAACTATTTATTACAATTTGGAGTCACTGAGATGTGTATTTTTGTATTCTGAATAAATAAATGGTTCAGCTTTTGTTGTACATTTTTAAGGTGCCTTGAAACAGGCTACCTATTCATATCTCTCTTCTTCAATAAAATCGGATACATATGCAATCTGACAGGCTCTTCTTTTTTCATTAACACTTTAAACAAAAGGATTGTGTCTTATAATTTCAAAATATGTCGAGAAAATGGAACACGTTAGTGCCATTCTATCTCCTTTAATGCAACACAGCCCTTTTTAAATGGGGTGGCACGAAGGTGGTGACCAGAAAATGTATATCAGCCATTAATTTTTCTTAGACAAGAACAACAAAACATACTCAAATTTCCTAAATAAACTGGCTGGTTTGTTTACTCTTTTATGCTCTCTCTGCTTTGATCAGCTTGTTTGTTGTTTTTGTGGCATTCCAAACAGGTGTTTTGCCAATGGGAACGTTTCAAAGTGCCCTCTGGTGGGCAAACTATGCATTGTTAACACTCATAACTTTTTAATTTTTCAAATGTATTTTGCGACTGTTGTACATGGCACCAGATACACTGGTACATGTCTGCTGATAATACTATTCAGCTTAAATCAGTCAAGTTCTCAACAATAGAAGAAAAAAGTGACTGAAGTTTTGAGTCCAGTCTGAAACCTGAACATTTATCTCAAATGGATTACTTGCACATACACTACACTCATTATTTGAAACGTTGGTTGCGTTTAACAGGAGCATCCAACACTGGAACAGTATACAGGTGTGCCACAGAAAATTTAAAAGGGGTAAATTTGAATATATCCAGGCACATACAAACAACAATGCCTACAAAGACATTTTCTATTTTCATTTTGATAATTGTGACCTGCAGTACAGAAAATAAAGCAAATAAAATCATATCAATCATATCAGAGTTTGAATAAATTACTGTTCAAATAGTATGACTACAATACATCTCTTATTGTAGGTCAGTACACACAACCACAGTCATGGGGAAGACCAGTTGTGGTTATCCAGATGATCATCAACAGGGCTGCAGAACATCACTGCTAAAAAAGTTGCCTGTTTGCAGAGAGCTGTATTAATCAATTTTCCTCGTTGGAAGTGAAAAGTGTGGTAGTAAAAGGCGCACAAGCAACTGGGATGACCAGGAGTAAAACCTTCGGTTGTTACATTCCTAATATCACAATATAACTGGAGACATTATAAGCATCTTTCCTGGGCTAAGAAAAAAAAAAAGAACCACACTGTTGCACTCTGGTCCTAGTCCACTTTTCAGATGAAAGTAAATGTTGCATTTCATTTAGAAATCAGCATCCAAGAGTCAGGAAGGAAAGAGGAACAGTGGAGAGTGTTTGAAGTCCAGTGTGAAGTTTCCACATGCTAATTTGGGGGGTCAGCAGCTGTTGTTGCTGCTTTTGGTCCAAAGTCAGTGCTGCTGTTTACCAGGAAGGGAACTTCATGATGCTATCTACTGACAAGCTTCATGGAGACGTCCATTTCTTTTTCCAGCAGAATTTAGCTCCTGCCCACAGTTCCTAAACTACTACTTAATGGTTTGCAAACCATGTTACTGTTGTGCTCTGACCCGACCTGTGTGTGGTAGATGACAAACACAGATGAGTTGATGTTTGCTATCAAAGCAACCTTAGCTTGAGATGATGATGACTGTAGCAACAGGTTAGCAGGTCTGTTTGCTGTAAGCCCACAGTATCTCAACATAACACAGCCGGTGGGCCTAGAATTCCACCTGTTAACACCCCAAACCTTTCCAAGTGAAGCTAATATGTTTTGGGAATTTACACTTTACAGTTTCTCTGTTGTGCTGTGAGATTAATCACTCGTGTCAAACAAAAGAATAGCTACATTGTGACTTCAGACTTTTGTGGCATTTAGAGAACTATTTTATACGACCAGACCCCCGAGCATTTCCTTCCGCATCCACTCTTATGATTAGACTTTTCTTTACTGAGATATTCTCTCTTTGTAGTATTGCTGTAGCTCACTTCTACTTTTCTGCTTAAAATTCCTCCTGATATTTATTTTTATCCCAAGAAGCTAAAACCAACAGAAAGACTGTCCAGCTATATTATTGGTGTTAATGTTCACATGATAAGTAAAGGTATCCAGAACGATGAAGGGTGGGTGGTCAAACAAGAAGGCAATATATATCTATGCCAGGTATATGTCAAAATCGGTTTGCTATGATGATGCATTTTATTGTTATTGTTGTTGTTTTTAAATAATACTCAGTGTATGTGTGTGTGTGCGCGCCTGTGTTTTCATTGTTCTGTCTTCAGCGGCAGTGCGACACTTATATATTTTTTTTCGGTGTGCGATTGATTATGCCTCATTCTTGTTTTCATGGGAAGAACGGCAGCACGCAGTAGATGGGGATTTCGAGTCAGATTTAGGAGCTGTCTAAATTAATCTGTAATTTGCCTGAACTCCTCACGGTGACTTTTGGGCTGTGTTTTGGCGATTGGGAAGAATTGACATAGTTATGGTATTTAATCACAGAGGTCCTAAACACTGCTGTGCTCAGTGTGACTTGAAAGTTCACGTTTTCATTTTGTGGTCGGAAGAGTTCCAAACGGGTGAATCGTTTACGAATCGCGCATCAAACACAGCGGCTACCGTCAGCGCTGCTGGAGTCCGACACTGAGCGAAGAGGTAAAAATGACTTACTAATAGCAATTGCGACGTATATGCTAAACGAAAAATGACCACAAACTGCTGCCGGTTTATCTGGATGTGTCGTAGCGCTGTCATTAGCTTGGTGGCTAGGTGCTAGCTGGCGACGTTAAGGTGACAACAGACCGAGCGGACCGCGGCCTGGTTCTGCTGCTAACATAGTGATTGACAGCCTGTCAACTAACAAAGAGGTTTATTTTGCTGTGGTCGACAGTCTTTTTAAGTGTGCCCAAGGTTTGTTGTGTACTCTGTATGTCTATGTATAATGTGCCTTTGCTAGCTAGCTGGTTAGGCGTTTGTGTGTTCTGGCCATGATTTCACAGAGCCTGAGTAGTCGTGAATCAGCCTCAGCATCCACGGTGTGTGGCTCTTCTGCGGCCTGCTGCTGCGGGGGGTACCAGCCCCGCGAACTGTAAATTAGCCAGCTTTCTTCCTCCAAAGCACCCCAATGCTTTTTTACGTCTATTAAAAATCTAGCAGTGTTTACAGGCATTTATTCATCCATAAAGACGACAAGCATGCAGTGTTCAGGGGGAGTTGTCAATGCCAACAAGTCATGTTATGCGAAATGTTTACATGTAAATGGTTCGAATAGCAGTTAACATGCAGATCAAGTTATCATTTTGTTGAAAAGAAATTTTACATAGAAAATGGCAAATGTGTTATTTTGTCTATAAAATAACACATTTGCACGTGTTATTTCGGAACATCACAGTGGTGGCTATTAAAGGAAAGGCCACTGGAACTGAACATTTGCATTGTGCTGTTCCGAAATGTTTTTAAAAAGTCGAGTCCTGACCTAAAACCAACATCGAAACTAAAATAATTAGTGAAAGTTGTGAGAATTATTGAGTTAATGTTTATATAAACTGCATTGTCATATGATTAGCTGTACAGTAGGGCTGTAATTAAATAGTTGTTTTCGTCCTACCTTTTTCTTCTCTTTATATCAATGTATTTGTGTTTTGCACCACATAAAAAGCACAAGTGCAACATTCCTCAGAACAACATTAAAAAACAACTGCATTTCATTTAGATGAAATGAAGTATGTTTAACTACACTGTGAGCAAAAGATGAATAGGTTATTGAGGTAATGATGAGCCTAAAGCTGTGCAACATTAAGGCTTAATACTTTGACCTGTTTTGTCTACCAATCAAAAAGTAGCTCATTGTGAATAAATTAAATTTGCTGCCCTCCCATTGCAGTATATAAACCTTAATTTCTCTTCCTGCTAAGAGTGGGATAAATACCCCCCCCCCCCCCCCCCCCCCACACACACACACACACACACACACACACACCTGTTTTGTCCTTCTGTGGTCAGAGTTGCACATATTTGTTCTGCAGCTGCCATGTCTGAAATGTACTGGCCTCCACGTGATTGTCTTTTTGCAATAATGACAGATATTGGAGAACAAAAAGTCAGTTTATCTCTAACCATAGTGGTACCTGTGCCTCAGTAGAAGCTGGTGTCAGATCTCACAGTGAGCTGTGAGTTTTCTTCTCTCCCTGTCTCTGTTTATCCACCCTTCCGGCCACCCACACTCACCCTCAGAATTTGGCCCACAACCAGATCCCTACATAGCCCTCCACAGGTTGTTTTTTTGGGGTTTTTTTTTTTCCCCCCTGCCACCCATTTTAGATCATCAGCTCCCCCCACCAGACAATCCTCTCGCTGGCTTGACTTAGCTTCATAATTTTTGTTTTTTGTTTTGTCCAAACATTGATAATTGACTTTTATGAATCAGCCCTGGAGGATTTGTGTAAGCCTAAACTTAGTTACCCTTAATTGTAGTTTTTCCTGTAACATGACTAATGCTGAATCCATTTCGCATTATGTGACCACGCTGGTTGCATAAGGTGGTGATGTAGGCCTCCTGAGTCGATTCTCACAAACTGTACCACTGAATGACAAGTCTGTGAGCTAAACATGAAACATAAACAGATTAACAATCTACTTATGCAAATTAGTCACCGCCATAATATACATCACTGTGGCTGCTTTTGTTGTGAGTGAAGTGGGGTGTGCTGCATAGTTGATTTTTAGGCAGCAGTAGCTGCGAAGCTAGGAGGTCCTGGATCACCAGAGGAAGCCTGTGGCATGCACTCTACCCCTCTGGTTCTCAGGATGCAGGATGGGCTGATCAGTAGGACCGCCTGCCTGCGTCTAGACTCAACTAGCCACTTTGGCCCGTACCTCAAAGGAGAGGCTTGGATTTCTTGGGAAACTTTTCCTTCTTGTACACTGTAAATATTTTGCTTCCATCACTCGCGCTCTCATGCTGCTTACCAAATGTGGTCGTCCTGCTCTAAGCGCATACACCCCTCTGTTCTTTTGCCTTGCTGTTTGATCTTTGATGCAGGCCTGGCTGTTTAAAGAATAGCAAAGAGAAAGAAAAGAAGCATTGCCAGTACAATACAATAGCTTAGCTTCACAAGCAGGGTAAGTCTAGGTAAGTCCTGCTTTGAGGCACTTGATTCATGTTAGTGGAACTATCATCTTCACAGCCCACTGACTTTGTTGCATCATGCTTCTTATTTTGGCATCTGTATTTATGTGCAACACTAGATAGGGACATAGCTTCTTGCTAATAACACTGAGACTGTCATTGCTTTGTCATGTGATTGTTGCTGTGGTCAGGGGGGTGGGAAAGTGGAGTGGAATGTAAGCGCACCAGAGAGATCACACTGAGCTGCTCTCTTTTACTTGCAGAGGATTGTAGATTAAAATAGAAAAAGACTTAGCTGTGGTATTCAAAGTGACAATAGAAGTCGTTAAAGAAGTTGAACTTCACACTTTAACATATTTTTTATCCACTTTTCTTACTCCTTACAGGTGAAAGGCCAGCCGGCCAACCAGCCACGTACAGCTAGCTGTCACTATGGATGCCTGTGCCCGTATTCGAGGAGTCCCAATCAGGTCCAGATCCTCAGTGCGGAAAGAGGTCTGTCTGTCAGGATGTATTTGCATTTAATTTTGCACACATGTGCAGTACACTCAGGGCTCCACCTATTGAATTGCCCAGTGGCTAAGGACTAGCAGAAAGGTATGGTGAACAAGTTGGTGGGCCAGCCACTGGCCCACTGGGAGTTTCACAGTGCTGAGTTCACCTGTGAACCAAACCAGCTGACTTGCCGCTATCAAGTTGTTTTTCTTGCAGTCAAGAATTAGTTGCACATTAAAGGAGTTTGATGAAGGCTATGACCTTTCAAACATTGCAACTCTCTTTCACAGTTCAAAGACTAATTGATGATTCCTGTGTGTGATTGTAAGTGTGAACAGTTGTCAGCCGCGTAAGTTTTGGCCCCCCAACAGTCTGCCGACCTCTCCAGAGCATACCCTGCCTCTTGTTCTATGACAGCTGGGAGGAGTCAGCATGGCACAGTATTTATTCCACTAAAATGTATTTAAAGTTTTGTTTTTTAAGTATGCTGAGGATTAAGATTATTAATATATACATCTACTAAGAAATTACATGATATACTTAAAGATTCAGCTGCTTAGTAGTCTATTAAGTAATGAATAAATGAACTGCTTTAATGTTACTAGTAAAAGTTTTGCCTCCTGGCCTTGGAGATCACTGCCAGTAAGATGCCTGCTTGGTAAGTGTTCACTTTTTCTTAGCTTCAAGTCGGTGTGATGGTTGAGGAATGAAGACACAAGTATAAATACAAACAACAATGCTATGTAGACTCCACTGGATTTCAGTACAAAACTCAGTAACTATATGTTGCGCTTTTTAAAAGAATTTTGTTGCAAAGATATTTAATTTCCTCTCTTATCCCCGCTTGATTTTCATTGTAGTTTCTAATGCAGTTAATTAATTTTCATTTGAAAATGCACAGTCCTGTAGAACCTTATCAGGCATTTTAAAATAATGGGATTGCTTAGGATCTGCGTGTGTACAAGAAGGCAGATGCACACAGTCAAGTTCTTTTTTTGCATTCCTCGGTGCACGGTGCAGAGATGAATAAAAGTATACTCACTGAGGCTGTAGGCCAGTGTGTACTTCTATTTAAAACAAACAAACAAAAAAAAAGCTGCATGTCTGTTTGCAGACTGTGCGAGACAGTGGGGCGCAGAATGTGAAGAGCCTCTTCAGGAATAAAAAGGAGCTCTGTGGCATTGGTTTAGAGCTGCCAGCAAGAGACGCCACCAGGCTGACAGAGGTATGTCACACAAACGCACCAGTGAAGCTCAGCCATGTTTAAACACATGACACATCAATATTGACCATCAGCTGTGCTTTTTCAGATTCACTTTGTGTGTCTGCCTGATGTAAGTGAAGGAGAAGATGTCACCCAGCAGGTACAACATGTTAGTTATGGACAGTAGGTCATACTTTGATGGTAGAGGACACAAAACTCAAAAACTAAATCTCTTGAGTTCTATCCTGGTCTTTTAGTTACCACTTTGGCCTTCAAACTGGGGTGATTCTGAGTGTTCTTGTCCACCAGGCTCTGTCTTCTCTGTCAGGGGGGCTGTGTGAGCTTCTCAGGTCCCTCCACGTCCACAGCATTAAGAACGATGAAGTCCTGCTGCTCAAAGACTCTCGCAGGCTGCCAGAGCACAAGGATGCCGGACCTCAGGTATGTAAACGACCGTTTTTGTGTTAAATTAATTTGTTTTGTCAGCATGTCAAACAAAGCAGAAGTGATTGGAGAGAATAGCAGGAAATAAGAGTGGGTAAGTGTACAGCACTTACTGCCTATCCTAGTAAGTACAGTCGATTAGAAAAGGAGCTCTCTAAACTGACGACAGACACTTTCTCTTGTTTAACATTCTGGTGTTGTATCTTTTTAAATGCATAATTTTTGTTTTAGCCTCTCATTCTGGTCTTTAAAAATGTATTGACTAAAAGAGTACTGCAATGCTTCACTATGCTTATTCAGACCCCAGCTTAGCTGCATTCCTTTTGCTGTCCTCGGGATGTGTTGGGATCTGAATTTATATGTGTAGGGTTAATGATACTTGAAACATGTCCAAACACAGTAAATGTTTAATTTTAAGAAGATGTATTTTTAACAACCGCTAATCCAGTTCTAGCAGTTGTTGATTAAAAGTTTTCCCACATGAGGGCTATGTAAGCAGATGTATGAGTCTCTCTCACGCTTCCAAAGAAACACAGGTGTGGGATAGGCTGACAGAGAAGTTGCTTTTGCAGCCGCCACTTTCCTGTTCCTGTGTGCCATGTTTGGGTTCACACAGACCCTGCAGCTCATTCTGTGGCTCTCTCGCCCCAGCTTTGTGAATTAAAGAGTGGGCTAGCACTAAAGGATTTTTGCGTTCTGCATATGCATCAATTTGCAATCAGGACACAGACATAACAATATACTTCCAGCCATCTCCCTCCTCCTGTGAGATAAAAAAAAAATGCCCATGTGAATTTAATTTACAAAAGTGATTGCTTTGACTGTCTGTCTGCTTGCTGGGTAAAAATGATTTTCTTCAAATGAGCTGAAAAATCACCAGCCAAACCATGCTGTCAGCAATTCTCATTTCCCCCTTATTCCCCTTTCTCATGCCATTTTCCTCTTCCTCCAGTATTGGTTAAAGACAGTGTGTGTTCTGAGGAATAGTTCCAGCACCAACGTTTACCCTCAAGCCAGTGTTCCAACTTTGGTGGGCCTGCTGGGGTGCTACATGGCAGGTCTCCGCTATACGCTGGAGCTTCAGGCTCTTCAGAGGGGCGCAGCTGAGCCCAACCAGCCAGACGAAGACGACACCAACCAGTCGGTCTCATCAATCGAGGATGACTTTGTCACAGCTCTAGAACATCTGGAGGAGGACGACACAGCAGACAATACCTGTAGGTTTAGCAGCCAATGCTTATTGGCATTTAGTGGCCTCTGGTTTTTGAGTCATGTGCAGAAAAGGATTTCTTTTTATTTTAATGCTCTCATAATGCTTTGTGGTATACCACTTGTAATTTCATGTATAATATAGACATTCCTATATTTTCCAAGTAGCACCAACTGGTAAAAAACTCCATAGTTGCGCTTAGTACGGGGAAGAGGAGAGAAGAGAGCAAAGATGCCCCCCCAAAAAAGTGTGACCAAACAAGGACCCGTGTCTGCTTTTTGGAACCTTGTTTGGTTTTTGAGGGGGAATAAAAGCTCTTTTGCAAGTATTTCTGCTTCTGTGGTCGGCTCTCCTCTGAGAAGGACTTTCGCAGCAGGCAGAGATTAGCAGGCCTGACACACACACACACACACACACACACACACACACACACACACACACACGTCCGCGCGCGCACACACAGACTGAGACTGGCAGGACAGTTGAATACTTGAAAATACTCAAATCTGAAAATACTTGAAGATTTTTGCCCTCAAACTTTGGAGGAAAAAAGTGACATTATACAGCAAAATGTAAAACACAGTCTGTTTAAAAACTCTAGTCCCGTGGCAGATATTTCATTTTTGATAATACAGCCTAAGAGTAGATTATTTGTTATTTTGCATATTGTTTTGAAATGTAGGGTTCAAATCAGCCAGAGGTGTGAATGTAAGTGTGGAAGGTTGTCTTTCTCTCCGGATTAGTCCTGCGACAGAGTGGTGACCTGTCCAGGGCGTACCCTGCCTCTCATTCAGCATTGGTCGGAAATTAATCAAACATATAGACAGTGATTACTTAATAGGTCTTCAGCCAAATTGTGCTCAAGGTCATAGTTATCATTTTTTCTACATTCTCAACACATCTAGCCCTATGGGAAGACTTACATAGAATTATTAATATTGTGATTTAATGTGAAACAATTAGAATCTTACAAGAATAATGTAATATGTATTTTTTCCATCCGCAGCACTATGCTGTCATAATCTGTGCAAACTTTAATTAAAACGTCTCTAGAATGTAAATGGTTTCAGTTCACTGCTAGATGGCACTAATTAGCTATTTACTAGTTTTACTTGTCTGTTATTTTTCCACAGTGCCATGAGCACTGTGGAAAATCATCTTATAATCCCCTCTTTGCAATTGTTGCATCTAACCACTTTTCTCCTCTTTCTCCTTCATGTCCATCTCCACAGCTGCAGCTCCATTTAGTCATTTTAAAAGGCGTGATGTGGCTTCACAGACAGTCCCAGCCCACAAGAGAAAAAAGGAATTATCAGGCTCCCGCGTTATCATAAGCTCGTCTTCGAAGAAGTATTCAGCCAAACACAGATCTGGTCCTGACGTATCTGTCACAGTGCAGAGGTCATCGGGTGTGGAATCCCAGTGGACTTACTGCAGTCCTGGAGCTCGTCTCCCCTCACCTTTGATTCATGTCAGTGAATCAGAAGAGTCAGACTGTTCCAGCCCCAGCCCTATCATTTTCCTGGATGAAGTGGGCTACCAGAAGAGCCTGCTGGCCAAACTGGACATTCCTCAAGTGCCAGGGGGGCCCAGAGAGCGAGTTGAAGACTCAGATTCCGAAGTTAGTGAGTTTTTTGACAGCTTTGACCAGTTTGATGATCTGGATGAGCTCAACTCTGAGAGCTGTACTCTTACTCTGCCTCTGGATGCGATTAGTGTCCCAGCAGCACAGAAAGAGGCTGATGAATCTGGCATAAGTACATCATCTTTAAAATATGTTTCTAGGGGCTGCTCAACCAAGGGAATGAATCCTCACCGCTTTGATCAGCCCACTCTCCCAGCCAATGTGAAAAAACCCACGCCCCTGAAACCAGGCTCTCCTTACTCAATTCCCTCTGAGGTGCCGGATTCCCCTCGGCCTGTACAGACTCCCTCTGAGGAGAACGGTGGTCCCCTCTTCAGTCCTTTGAGCTCCTCTGCCTTCAGTCCCCTGGTGGACTCCAGCGGGCCACTGGAATACTTCTGGAATACAGAGGCAGATGGACAAGATGACTCTGAGCTACGCAAACCTCAGGATCTCTGTTCTTTGTATAAGACCTACTCAGACTTTGCTAGCAGTCTGTCCAAAGAAATTCTCGGATCTGTCTGTGGCTACCAGTCTGCTGTCGACATCAGTGACAACAAGAATCTCTCCTGTGTCTGCCACAAGGAATTTAAGAACCCTTCAGGATACCTGATGAAACTCTCAGAAATACAGGAGACTGTGACGGTGGCCAAGCTGCAGAAGAAATCCCAGTCTCTGAAAGATGGTATTCAGAGGTTTGCCAGTGACCTTGTGGAAATGAGCTTGGGCAGCGCTTTGCGAGACCTCCAAAAAGGGGTGTCCTCCTGCACCACCACCTTGTGCCACCTAGCTGCTCGACTTACCTCCTCAGTATTTCAAATGGCCTTCCATGAGATTGGCATGCGACGTGCATATGTACTGAAGGAGCGGGCAATCAACGGGCTGGCCACTTTCCTGGTTGGAGAGGCCGTGTCCGCAGCGCTCAAAGAGTTCCTGACTGTGAAGAAGCAGATTTTCCACAGCACTGTATCACGTTTTGCTGCTGATCTGGCTGAAGAGCTTGTTTTTGAAGGTATAATGGAAGTATGTCAGTTCTCCCACCCCTCAACGCCTCTCACCCCAAGCGATTGGTCTTTTGGCCATGGGCAAGAGGAAGAAGAGGAGGAGGTGGTGGTGTCCTCCTATGCTTCAGACCTTTCTGAGTCTGTCATCCAGGAGGCCTTCATAGAGCTCTCTCAGGCAGATGTTGCCTTCACAAGCCAAGCAGCTATAAGTGTGTCTGTGGACAACATCTGTTATGTCAGTGCAGATAACACCTGCACTCATACCTGCAGCACCTTTGCTAACCAGCAGGTTTTAAGTGTAGCGGTCCCAGCGGAGGATGCTTCTTGTACTGTGAAGAAAGCCCTGTTCACTGTATCAGGAATGGCCAGCTGTATTCCTGTGCCCCAAGCAGGGCACGCCCTCTCCAACCTCCAGGATTCCGAGGAGACCACTCAGCAGAGGTCTAGCTTGTCACATACCCCACCGACCAGCCCCAAAAGATCAACTGTGTCATCCTCTGACAATGCCACGTCTCCACTAACGGCCCTTTACAGTCATGGAACTCAGACCTCTCTACCAGCAGGAGAGCCCTCCCAAAAACAGTCTTCATTCCAAAACTTCTCTGGCAACATGGTGGATATGATAGTAACTGAGGCTTGTGAGCTAATAACTGCCTCTAAAATGAAGAAGGGTTTGGGCGACTGTGCTGACTTCCTCACAAAGACAATCAGGAGCCGCAGGGACTCTTACGATGCTCTGGATTCCCCTTCAAAGCAAGGAGTTGTCAGGGAAAGTTTTAGATATGACTATACAGATTCTGGGCATGTTAGGCTAGGTGGCCCTATGGGACAAGAAAATAATCCTCCCATTTCCTTTCAGACAGGCACTCTAAACCAGGGGAGTTACCGATGTGAGCGAGGCCCCAGGACCAGGGGTGTGTCTGAAACACATCCTGTGATGATGAATACTTTGGAAGTGCCGGGTAATGAGACGGGTGGACAAAGGAGGATATCCGCTACTGTGGATGATTCAGCTCCAAACTCTGGACAGAAGTCTGCTGCGACTCCTGGTACTCCTCCGTCCACCCCCCAGCAGCCCAGTGAGGTGTCCAAGGAGAGACAGATAAAGCAGTTCTCCAAAAAGCTGAAAAGCAAGCTGGCTAAAGAATTTTCCCCTGCAACACCACCTCCAACCCCTCACTATCAGCCTGAGCTGGGCCCGGGACCAAAAGACACCATCCCAGATGCAGACAAGGCAGAGTTTATGCTCAAACTGATGAGATCTCTCTCTGAGGAGGCTGATGGAAATGAGGAGGAAGAGGAGGAAGAACCGGCAGAAGAACCGGCAGAAGAAGGCGGTGTTGGAGTCTTTAACACATGTTCAGAGAGAGGGGGCGGCCGACACACACCCAGCCCGATGTGCGCTCGTGTAATGTCCAACAAGGAAGCTCTCCACTATGCTGAGCGGTTGGCGTGCCACATAGTCTCGATGGCAACAGAGATGGACACCCTAGGAGGGGCGGAAGAGGAGCAGGGAGAGATGAACCAGGGCAGTGAGAAGAGGAGAGACAGTGTGGCTCAGTTTTCAGAGCAGACCCTCAACTCATTGTGGGTGTATGCAGGAGAAGTGGCGGGAGAGGTAATTAGTGATGTGAAGAGGATGGTGAGCTCTGGACAGCAGTGCCCGTATCACAGAGCTCTCAGAAGAAGAAGCTGGGACAGATCTAGCTCCGAATGTTTGCATTACCACCACAGACATCACTCTCAACCCGGTACAGATCAGAGCAGAGACTGGAGGTTAGGAAAGCTGGCTGAGCAGTGGTCCAATGACCTGATTGCCTCGGTCTCCCAGTCTTCCACCTCTGCTTCGAGCACTGTGTCTAGCTCCAGCTCTGGTCTATCCTCTGAGTATCCCAGCTGTGAGAGCGTGACAGATGAGTATGCCAGCTACCTCATTAGGGTGCTGAAAAAGGAAGGGGGGAGTAGGGAGTTAGTCCTGGACCAGTATGCAAGCCGTTTGGCTTATCGTTCTATAAAACTTGGCTTGGCTCACGCCAGTCGTAAAATAAAGCAGAGATCCTCTAGTGCACGTCTTCGTTCCTCTAAGTCTCTGCCAGATGAATGGAAATCGTCTTGTAGTAGTAAAACGTCATCAGCCAAGGATCGAACAGAGATGGATAGAAACACCCAGTGTTGTTGCAGGGACTCTGAAGAGCAGAGTAAGAGGGAGTACATGGATCTAGTCCACTTTGCTGAATCTTTAGCATATAATATCACCTGTGATGTCACACGCAAGCTCCATCTCTCCTCTGTACGGCTGCCAAAGTCTTTCACTGACTCCTGTCTTTATAAAAAATCCAAACTGGAAGACATGGCAGAGAATCTCATCAGGAACTCCTTCTCCTGCCCTGTGTTATCCAAGGAGGGTAAGAGCAAGCACTACCACAGCACAGGGAGTCTCTACGATCAAGGTTACAGTAGCAAGGTGATGCAAGTCATTGAGCATTATGCCAGGAAAATAGTGGATGACACGCTGAAGATAAGCGTGGCTTCAGTTGGCCATTCATCACGGGAGCACCAAGACCATGACAGACACACTCACACACAGAGGTTGTCTGAGGGCCCAGTTCTGGTCCGGGCAATGGGGGAGAGGCCATGTTGTTGCTGTCAAGTCCAGGAGTGTCCATACTGCAGCAAGCACAGCAGGCACCACTACCAACCTGTGCTGCAGAGGAGGAAAAGGGGAGGAGACTGTCAAGCAAGAGTGCTCTCTAGTCTGGAGATTCCAAAAATCCACATCGACCTGGACCACAGGGTGGCATTTGCAGAGGAGATGGTGTCCATGGCAATGGATACAGCAAAGCGCGAGCTGAGCAACACCAGCCTTAATGCTGACAGCGGGATCGGCCATGATGGCACCAGCTACGCCGAGAGCCTCACTGCTGAGATCATGACATCAGCCCTGTCCAACATATGCCAGGCTGCCCTTACCAGGTACACACTTCCCAGTTCACATCAGGAAGAGTGTCTGTTTGCCCCGAAATTCATTCCATGCATACGTTTAATCAATGGCCAGGCCATAAACATGTGTTGTAACCTATAATCAGCTTTGTTTCACTTCTTTTGACAAACATTTTAATGTTTTATTTTCCCAGTTTTACTGCACTGACATGTGACTATTTGCATTGTTAGTGAGGCTTTTTTTTTCTTTCTCTCTCCTTTGGTTTCTTTGTATTTAGTGCTTCGGGTAGGGAAACCACTGAGTCCACTGTGTCCCAGCAGCTGAGTGTTGGAGATGACAGCCTGGGAAGCTGGTCTAACCTGAGCTTTGAAGATGAGCACCCAGATGATAACAGCAGCTTCCTCCACCTCAGCGACAGGTAAACACACCTAACTTTATATCTATCACCTCTAGAGCACAGTCCAACTTGGTGCTTTAAAATATACGTTAGAATGGGGTCTGAGAACATTTGTAGTGCATTCCTTATTATACACTTATTTATGCACAGCTTTTTAACCTTAAATAGATAACTATCATATCTGATATCATATCTCACAGTACAATAATATTGAATGGGTTGCATTGTTGTATTTTGTCATGTTTCTCAGGTCTTTGTCTGAATTTCTACGAACATTATTGCTAAGGATTGTCTTATTGCATTGGAGTCACACTGGGTTAAATATGTACACTTGGGTTTTAAGGGGTATTTATTATTTTCTTCTTTTTTTTTTGGGTTGTATGGAAGCCCCAAACGCAATTTCATTGTTCTTGACAATGACAATAAATAAATAAATACTAAATACTAACCAGAATTTGAAAGAAAGAATCAGATTGTGATTTATGGAGTGGCTAGCTACTAGTTACACTCCATAAATGTGTATATATGTATATATGTTATACTAACATATAAAGATTTTTTCCTATGGATGATTTTTAGCTTCAAACTTTTGTTTGTGGCAATAAAAAACCTACCTAAGGCACTTTCACTAAAACATCTGAAGAATCCTTGAGAGTAAATAAACTACATACGGGGGCGCTCCCCTTGAGAATTAAAGGTTTGGTTGTTTTTTTTTTTCCCTGTTTTGCATTCACACCCACAATAGGAACTCTAATGTCACATAAGAACCAGCTGGTGGTTGGGTTAGCAACTATAGCAACCACAACAAGTCTGAGAACAAAGTGATCATAGCTGTGTGTCGTGGGTTTCATGATTAGCTTAGTTGGAAAGCAGACATGCAGATTTTGACTTTATGGTTGAAATCACCCAGTTTGTGCTCCTTGAGGTGACATTACCAGTAACTGTCTTTGTGTGTTGTTATACCTTGAATGTGTAATGACACAGAAGTCTCTGCAGCTCCCAATAACCCTCATGATCACCACCAGATCCCAGACTAATAGATCATTTGTGCCTGTTTTAACATATGCCAGTGGCACAGTGGTTAGCACAGTTGCCTCACAGCAAAAATGTCCTAAGCTCAATTCCATCATCAGGTTGGAGTCTTTCTGTGTGTGATGCATGTTGTAGGATAGGCTGGATAGGCTCCAGCCCCCCTGCGGCCCTGTAAAGGATAAGCGGAACCACAAGCAGAAGCAATCAAGAAAAGAGAAACAGAAAAGAACTTCATAGAGACCAAATTATGCTTTATAAACTGCTTACTGTATTATGGGAAATCTCCCAGTAGTCTGATACTATAGAAGCATAACTAAGGGGTGGTTCAGGGTTCCTTGATCCTGTAAGCATTAAAAAGGAACATTTTAAGCCCATTTTTCAAAGCTGAGGGTCTGTCTCCAGACTTTGTCAAAAATTCCCTTTTTTGATAGAAGGTAAACGAGGCGCGACAAAATGCGACGCACAGCACATTCTAGGAACTTTGATTGTTGCTGGTTGCCGATACACTGAAAACATCATTTCTCAGATGGTGTAATGTTCAGTACCAATTATTTTGTATATGATTTAACCCACATTTAATTACCTAACGTTAAATGGAAGAGGTTTACTACTCAGAATAAATGCTAATATTAATATGGGAGAGAAAAACCCCAAAAATTAGTAGACAGTGGAGCTCTTTAATGGTTTATTATTGCATTTCACTGTTTAGCTAACAAAACTGAAATGGTGCAAGCATCATCCTGAGAAGTTTCCGACAGGTAAGCTGAAATAAACCTTGCTGTACAAACATGAACATAAACACTTATTTATTTTTCATGTTCCAAACTCTGCACCATGGCCAAGACTAAAGAGCTTTCCAATGATGTCAAGGACAAGATTGTGGGCCTACACAAGGCTGGAATGAGCAACAACTGTGACGCACTAACACTAACTGACCTTACTGCTCCAGGGTGCCGGCGTTTTAGTGCTGTCGTGGAAGGAAAGCACCGGTTTGCACAATCTGCATTGAACTTTGTTTTCTTTGGAATGCTTTCAAAATGTTTAAAATCTCAGTTTCTATTTTCTTCAGTCCTCCTGTTTTGCTGTTTGTGCTACATTCTTCTTCAGTATTGTCTAGTCTTGGCAGACGATATAGGCAATACTGCCCCCACAGTTTCCTGTAGTGTATTGCAGTTACAACCCATTTATTAGCATATGAAAATGTTAACAATAAAATTCCACGTCAAATAATTTTTATAGTCGTTGCAGCTCTGCTTGGTACAGACTGATACTGCATGTCTTGTATGCAGTATCAGTCTACATGTGGGTATGCAGTAAAATGTTTTTTCATGTTTTTGTGACAGCTGCTACCATTTCTTTTGTCACAGCAAGTAGTATCCTTTTTTTCAGCAGGTTATCTATCATATGTTTCTGTATTTAGTTGTTTCAGAATGGACAGTCTGTTAATGTCCAAGCAGAAGACATTGAATGTAATCTATTGTTCTTAATTGGTTTGGGTTCAGAATTTAAAGCCTGAGGTTATACTTTGATCATACTGTGTCACTTTATGTTTTTGGGTTTTTTTGGAGGGTTTTTTGCTCCCGTTGGAGCCATTTAGGAGTGTTTTCTGCAGTTCATTGTAGATGTAAGGTTTCCCAAAGACAGTGCAGATTGTATGTTTTTCCAAAATCATTTAAACTTGACTGCCAGAGTGCAAGTTTTCTCTGATTTATGTTGCATTATATGTGAAGGCTAAAGGATAAGTATTTTAGATTACTGTCTATGTTACCAAGTTCTAAGTAGTTGTAGGCATGACCGATTTGGTCTTCTTGTCTTGGATGGACATGACCTATGTTTGTGTGTGTCAATTTAAAAAAGAAAAAAAAAGTGAGTGAGTCTGATAAAGTCTCTGGGAAATGGGCTGTTGACAGTTCTGGCAGGGGTTGATATCTCTATGGAAGCAAACCTGACAATGGGTTTGTTCCCAACATGCTAAAAGAGCATATTGTGTTAGCATTAAGTTATTTTGGCCATCAGGGCAAAGTTAATGTGTCATAATATTTTCTAAAGGTGTGTCTTTAAGTGCTCACCTCTCTTCAAGTGCTGTTTCTACTGGAACAAAGTCCACCATGTGTAATTCATAAGACATTTCAAAGGCCTGCTGCTACTATTTCCGCTCAGCAGATGAAATAACGGGGGGAAAATTCCTTTATGAGTTTAGCGAGACAGAGATCAGGCTGACTGACTAGATGAATCACCTCTCAGTATGCCATTCAGACCACACCTGCCGCTGAGGTAATGCAGATTAATAGAGGTATTTTTAGATATCAGAAACATCTCTCCCTTTTAGTTAGGCTATAGCATGCCACAGTATGCAGGTTCCAGCCAGCAAGGCTAATCATTCACTAATTATAGCGAGAGTGTATGTTGTTATGCTTCTGTTGCCAGCTGGTTGTCCCGCTGGAAGCCACATGATTAACGAGATTATGTGAGAACAAAAATGTAATGATCTCACATTTCAGGACTTTAGCAACAAATGGGCCCAGTCAACATTAAAGCTGATTCAGGGAGGTGTACAGTGGAAAAAACCTGCATCATTTGAAGAATCCTCCTCTGTTTTTTTCAACCTCACCTGACATTTAAAGGATTACCAGAAATGGTCATCCACCTCCGTGTTGTTTGTTGACGATACATGACAGTAAGCTCTTATAGCAAATGTGATGAAACTGCTTATTACATCCTGATCTTTTGTTGCATTTTGGTAGCTCTCTGTGTTAGCCACTTACTGTGTCAGTGTTACAGCGGTGTGTTACCTGCCTTCTGTGTCCAGCAGTAATGGGAATAGCAGTAGCTGGAGCAGTCTGGGCCTGGAGGGGGAGGCGTGTGAAGAGCACTTGTCATTCTCCCCCTCTGACAGGTTGGTCAGCACCCGATTGGCATGGCTATCCTTGGAAAAGAAATGCACACAAGACATGGGGGTTTACCTAGAATGTGACAAAGAATGAACTGAATTTGCTATGAAAGCACCACAAAGTACTGAAGTATGTGATAGATCCACCAGTGGAAAATCTTTCTTCATCATATGAAAATGATTTAAACTGCCACTCTACAATATTCTGATTTATACTTTGTCTCATACTAGGAACCACCAGCCCCCTAACATGACCATACTTGAGCTTTAAACATTAATAGGCTTGACATGGCAAATGCTTGTTGATGCTAATCTTAGCATGCAATGTGTTGCTTAAGTTTTGTTGGTTCTGCATTGCTTGCATGCAATTTTTTGTCTTTGTGGGAAATGTGTAGTGTTATTATTTTGTCCATGTTGTATTACCTCTGAACAGCCAACCAGTCCCTGAAGAACAACGTGGAGGGTTATTTTTCATTTAATTTCATAGTTTTAGAAACTATAATATATTAACTTTCAAATTAAGTCTCTTGCATGCATTATGACCGGGCATCCATTTTCCCCCCCACTTATCTAAAGTCTAGTCACAGAGCAGGTTTCCTTTTGGAAAATCCCGAGATAGACCCAAGCTAGTGAATTCTAGATATACCCTGTGGTCTCCTCCTACTTGGGTGTCCCTGGAAAACCTCTAAGTTAAGCCTCAAGGCACCTTGATCAAATACCCAAAACACCTCACCTGCCTTAAGCATTGGGAGTACTCTGGGCTCCTTCTGGATGTCCAAGCTCCTCAGCCAGTCTTTTCGCCAAGCCTAAACTCATTTTTCTTGCTTCTTTCCTAACATTATTTTTTCAGTGACCACCCAGAGCTCATGATTGTAAGTGAGAGTTAAAATGTAGATCAAAAGCTCTGTGGCTGGTGCGCCAGTTTACCTGTTTCTCTCACACCCCACATACTTTTTTTTCTTGTGAACAAAATCCGAAGATACCCAACCTTTTTGGACTAGGGCGGGGTCTCTCCCCAAACTTTGAGGTAGCAATCTGTCTTACTTTGTGTTTTGCCGTTTCATGAATGCAAGTGATTCATGAAACTGTAAGGATATGTAAAATAGTTGGAAATGTCATACAAAGGGAAACCTAAAGCTAATCTTAAACAGGTAGTAGACATGGTGGATGTTTAGAGGTGGCTGCATATATCAGTCTTGCAGCTGTTGCAACTAGAGATGGCACGATACCACTTTTTTATGTCTGATACCAATATCATAAATTTGGATATCAGCCGATACCAATATGAATCCTATAGTGTTTTTTAATCAACAAAACTGTTTTTTTTAAATATTTTGTATAAGTTCATACTCAAGTTAAAAAAAACAACAAAAAACCCCCACAAAAATACAGTATGCACCCAAAATATTTCATAGTTCAGCAATACTGATCAATCTAATAAACTTAGACCTACTCCATCCTCCCTATTCTGGTATTTTAAAGAGTAAGCACCATAACTAATAGGGTTCTAAAACTCCCAGCAAAAAAAAATTAATAAATAAGGAACCACCCTCCACCACATGATGCTTAATTGACGTAATCAACTTCAATTTGATGCAGTGTGGAAAAAAATGCAAAGATGTATTGCCATGTACTACCCAACTGACAGTACTACCAACCATTTATTTAGTCTTCCTTTCTCAGGCTGATGAATGGATTTTCTTTCAGCTTGTTTAGCAGCTTCAACTCAAAATGTGCTTTTAGAAAATTCCAGTATCATTTCAGCTCTAGGTGCTACCACTGAACGGCTGTATTGAAAATCTAAAAAGCTAACACATTCAGTTGTCCTTTTATAAGATATTATTTGACCGGATATATTAACATAGCCGGTCTGTTTGATATTTGAGACCTCTGAGAACAGAGTATCTCTGCATCTTGTCATTCCCTTATTAGTCCATGATCAGAGCTGGCAATAAATATTCACAGGTTTGTGCATTTTGATAGTCATAACATCAACTAAAGCTGATGGCTTCCAAGATTATATCAAAAGTGCAACAGATTTTCCAATATGAAACATGTCAAAACTTTTAGTTAAACAAAGGTGTTACAGGTCAGAAAAAAGAAGAAAGGATAACTTAAAGCTATTCTGAATCCACATTGATGTGTCTTGCTGATTAAAGCAGAGCACAAGGTTGACTTACAGATTTGTATTTTGTATTAGTTCTTATATTAGCAATTGTGCTTTTACTTTGATTTTAGTTAGTGTAGTTTTCATCAGCTTACAGTGGTGTAAAATGTATAATATATTGTAATTTCTTCTGTCTAGAAATAATGTTTATAGTAACAGAATATAATGTCAGTATATAATGACTAGCATTCATAAAATATTTAATAAGTTTCCGTACTGTTTTAGTGGTAATAAATCCCAAGACGATTATTGGTTAATAATTTCTTTGTGATCTAATTAATATTCAGTTACTTGTTAATAATATAACTACTAAAAGTATTTTTTAAATTCAGTTTATTAACATTATAGTTTTGTTTTAATAATAAGCTATTTTTATATATGTTGCTCACACCCACAGTTACTTGATGTTGAGCGTAGTAAATAGCAGTTTTGTGGCTACCAACAGGTGGCAGATTTCTCACAGAGTCACATTTGTGGTTTAGTTCTTTTTAAAGAATTCAAGAGATGTTAAAATGGAGGGAAAAAGGTTTGATTCATGCATTGTGTGAGTGAAACCTCAAGTAGACAGACACACAAAGATTTTCTAACTAGGAAGTACTCCACACCTATAGGTTTATACTGTTCAGGCACCTCCATTGATGCCCATATATATTTTGAGTGCATAGCTTTATCGCCCTCCTTCTTAGTTCGCCTCCTCTCCCTACTTTTTCAGTGCCGTCGCTCCTTTGCAGTCTCAAACAGTGAAACACCTTAAACGGTTTTCCTTTCTGAAAAGAAAATGATATCCTTATATCCTAACGTGCAGAGCCTGAGTGTCTGTAGCTGTGGGCTGTGTCAACAGGCCTGTGATTAACAACCTTATAAAGTGGTGAAATGACTGTTTACCTGCTGGCACGTCACACAGCAAATATTTGCACAATTGACAGAATGGATATCAAGTAGCTTTTCAGAAGGGAAAAATCAACTTTCACACTGATCAAGATCTCCTCTTCGTCACTGCGCATTAACTGACAAAAGACACCTGATCAGAAAAGTCAATTTACAGGAATTCAGGAAAGATATACGGCATCACCGAGTCTAAGACGTCTTTTGATCAGAATTGCTTTGGTTGCAGTGTTTGTGTGCTTTGCTTTTGTCAAAGGCTATTAGCTTTAGTGTGCTTATTGCCATTTCTATATCTTTGCATGCATCCTTGTGTGTCCGACCTGTTCTGTCTTCTTACTAACCTGTGTGGCGTTTCTCATCCAACAGTGACAATACAGAGGACAAGGAGGCTGAGGTCAAAGAGGAATCAAGTGGTAAGCACGTTTTATTGCCTGCAGCATCTTTCTTTCTTTAATGTTTTTAAGTAGACTGTGGCAGTGCTACAGGTTAATACTTGGAGTTTTTGGGACATCTAATGGAAAAAAAAAATTTTTTGTGCTCTTGCTCTTTGCTGTCCGAGACACAGTTGGATTCCAGCTGACTGTGTTAGTCTGTCTGTGTTGTTGCTGGGGATTTAACCACCCCCACATTCAGCCACACTAATACTCATGCATGCACTCCATCCACAGTCAGTCACTCTGCCTTCTGTATGTCTCAGACTACAATTGCCTCCACTTAAAGGGGTCCCCTTATTGTGTTTGCTGTGCTATGGAAACCTGGGTTTGAGCAGATCAGGACATAGTGTTCTAAAGAAGGAGCGCTAGAAAACTGAAAAGGTGTGGCTGACGGCTGAGTGAATCCTTTTTCTCTGTGCTGCAGGGACACTCTGTGTGGACAGGACTCAAGTGCAAACTCCCAGGACTGTGCTTGTCATAGCAAACTCAGATGTCAGAGATCCTGGGAGTGGCCCTAAGCACGTCACCCTCGACCCCCAGCTCAGGAGCATGCTACAGTGGCTGGCAGCCTCCATGGCCGACATCCCTCAGATTCAGCTAAGTCCTGACAGAGAACTGCAGCAGGTGATTGTGGCTATATTCCTCACAAACAGGTTCCCTCTGTGGTCTTCATTAGTCAGCACTAAAACTCTTTTTAAACCACGTCATGTCGCTTCAGTGAAAGAAGTCATTCTTTCCGTGATTGTCTGTTTTGAAGGTCAACAATCCTGTAAAGTTCTGTGCTGGTTCCCACCATACTGTGCTTTGCTATGGAGACAAACAGCTGAGAAGCACCAGCTACTGTGACGATTGAGCTGTAGATTTTTTTTGGAAAAATCACCAGTAATTTCACCAGTTTGTTCCTGTTTTCTGCATTTCAGTAAAGGTCATAGTCATCGCTGTTACCTGACAAAACTTAATGGTATATATTGTTATACAATTTCCAAAGCCTGCACAGCCAGTAAAATTGTGGGGTGATACAGATCCTGATGTTTAAATATGGCCATGTGCAATGTTCATATACTAATTTTACTCTTTTTGCTTTTTTTGTTTTTCTTATTTAAAAACCCTGTGTTTGAACAAAAGCACAATCTCAAACATTTAACACTGTAATATTATAATAATACAGCAAAACATCTGCTACTGGGATGAGATTCTCTTTGCTTTATTTGATGGATTTTGGTCTAATGACGCCAGTATATGGATATGTGACCTACACATATTAAAATGAGCCCCTTTTCTATTAGTACCTACTCTGATTGACTTGCCACAGTTTTCAGGTTTCCATTAGGTCATAGTACCTGGTACTAAGTAATAAAATAGTACCTTCTCGGCTGGGGTTCCAAGCAACACATACTAAAATGTGACATCGTCAGACTGCATGC